ACACACACACACACGCAGAGACTGCAGACCCAGACCACACCGCCTGCCCCACTCCGCAGACTGGCGTGCTCCCTCCCTCAGTTCTGACAGCTTGTGCCTGCGCTCTTTAGTGCTTTGTAAATGGAGTGTCATGTCCTCTGCATACGGGGCGGTTTTGCCTCTTTCCTGCCGCCAAGTTGCATCCTTGTTTCTTCTTGTCTGATTGCTGTGACTGGACTTCCCGTAGTATGTTGAACACAAATGATGAGAGTGGGCGTCCTTGTCTTGTCCCAGAGGTTTAGAAAGGCTTTTAGCTTTTTTCTTTGAGTACTGTGATGACTGTGCTTGTCATAAATAGCTTTTATTACATTGAGATGTCTTCCCTCTGTACTCACTTTGTGAGTTTTTATGAAGAATGGATGTTGAATTTTATCAATGCTTTCCCTGAACCTTTTAGGACGAGCATGTTGTTTTGTCTTTTCTCTTGTTGATGTGTTGATTCACATTGATCGATTTGCATATGTTGAATTATCCTTGTGACCCTGGTATGAATCCAAGTTGATCATGGTGTGTGATTCTTTCTGTGTGTTGTTGAATTTGGTTAGCTAATATGTTGTTGTGCGTTTTACATGTATTTTCATAAACAGCTTTGTTCTGTAACCTTTCTTTTTTGGTTGTGTCTTTGTCTGGTGTAGGTATCAGGGTGACGGTGGCTTCATAGAATGACTTTGGGAGTGTTTCCTCCCCTTCAGTCTCCTGGAAGAGTTTGAAGAGGGCCAGTATAAGCTCCTCTTTGTCAGTTTGGTGGAACTCCTCCATGCAGCCACCCAGCTCTGGCCTTTGGTTTGCACGGAGTTTTTATTGGTATGTTACAGATTCTGTGTCACTTCCCGTGGCCGCTCTGTTCAGGCTGTCTACGTCTTCTTGACTCAGTTCTGGCAGGCTTGTGTCTCTAGAGACGCCTGCATCTCTTCTAGGTTTGCTGTCAGATTGGTCAACACACAGTGGTTCGTAGTACTCTCTCATAAACTTTTGTATTTCTGAGGTATCAATTTTTAAAACTTAATTATTAATTAGTTTTGGCTGTGCAGGACTTCCTTGGTGGCTCAGATGGTCAAGAATCTGCTGCAATGTGAGAAACCTGGGTTCGATCCCTGGTTGGGGAAGATCCCCTGGAGGATGGCATGGGAACCCACTGCAGTATTCTCGCCTGGAGAATCGGACATAGGAGCCTGGCAGCCTACAGTCCATGGGGCCGCAGAGAGTTGGACACGCCTGAGCGAAAGAGGACAGTGCTGGGTCTTCCTGCGGCCCAGGGGCTTTTCCCACGTCGTGCTGAGCTCAGCGCAGCTTTTCTCTTCGCTGCGGTGCCTGGGCTCCTCGTTTTGATGGTGTGTCTTGTCGCAGGGCTGGGCTCTGGGCCCGCGAGCTCAGCATTTGCGGCCTGTGTGGGATCTTTTCCCAGCCCGGGTGGAACCCACGTCCCCTGCATTGGCGGCTGGATTCGTACCCACCAAGCCACCAGGGCAACCTGGTAGCAGCTGTTGTTCCTCCTGTTTCATTTCTTATTTTATTTATTTGAGTTCCATGTTGTTGCCTTTTGAATTTGATGTGATGGGATGGACTCCTACAGTTTTATTTCAGTTATTCACCATTATGCTTGAAAACTGACCTGTGTTACTCTAGCAGTCCACCTTTTTGAATTTTTTGTTTAAAATTCTGTTGCAGATATATACACCAAACCATTCATTTTGGTGAAAGTGATTTCTGCAATCTTTTCTACTGGGAACAACCCACGTGTCCACATTCTGCTTGCACCCTCGTGGCTGTGCACGCATCTTCCTCTAGGTTATGCAAGTGTGGACCAGTGCTGTGTCTCTGCTTTTCACTGAGAATTGCTGCCGACTCTCTAGGTTGAGCAGGGTGATGAGTACACCTGCCCGTGATATGCGGGATTCGTCAGAGTCAGCCTTGTCTCCTCCATCGTTTTCTCCTCCCCTCTCTCACAGATGAACTAGGAGGTGGGCATCTCATCTCAGGGAACCTGGGGCATGAAACTGAGGTGGAGACCATCCTATGTGACGTGTACTGCAAAGGACACATCTGTGCATGTGGGGCCATCGGTGGGGGTGGGTGGACCAGACTCGCTCCTCTGGGAAAGCCAGCCTGCTCCTTCCTTCCCACCCGGCATTTAGCCCATTCACCCGGGCTCCTGGAGGTTGGCCACGGAGAGCGTTTGCACCAAAGCAGACACACAGTTCACACGCCTGGGCTCTTTAAGAATTTATTGCCTGATGATTGTTTCTGTGCTGGGTCTGTGTGCACAGGGGTGTGTCTGGTTGTGATGAGCGGGGCTGCTCCCTCGCTGAGGCATCTGGGCATCTGCAACACTGGCCTCTCTGGCTGCGCGCGGGCTCCAGGACGTGCCAGCCTCAGTCACTGCGGCTCACGGACCCAGTTGCCCCTTGGCACGTGGGATCCCCCAGGATCACGGATTGAACCTGCGTCTCCTGCGTTGGCTGCCAGATTCTTCACCACCAGGGAAACCCCATATCAGCACTCTTTACAAAACGATATATTCCTGAGCTCATTTACCAGCGTAGCCCTGACTGTCACTTCTAGCGCCAGGGATCCCATCGCACTGACAGTGTTTCTGGAGAAACTACACGGGTGTCATCTGATGAGGAGAGGAGGGTGTCAGGGGCCCAGGGGGTTCAGGGAAGAATCTGGATCCATCTGTTCCAAACGGGGCCCCGCTTACACCCATTTATTCAGTTACTTAAACGACGTTCTGTTTCTGAGAAGGGATGGAGGTCATTGCGCACACCAGAGACGGCGGGCATGAACAATGAGGCTCACATCGTCCAGGATAGCGGACAGAGCCTGAGGGCCTGCAGGGTGAGGACCCGCCCCTGCCACTGGGATGCACCTCCGGCCGGGAGTGGGAGGAGCCGGGAGTTGGGGCGTCCTCCCCGGGAGGGAGGGGGGAAGCCCCGTGAGTGGAGGCCGAGCCCCCAGGTCCCCCTCCCCGGGACGCCTGGGCCTCCTCCTGCCTCCGCGGAGCGTCTTCCCCCCCGGGGTCAGAGGCTCTTTCTGAATCTCCCGGGCTGGACGCTCGTGTCGGGGGCTGGGGTGCTCTGGAAGGTGTCGAGGGGCCCTGTGCTCAGTTCCGGGCCGCGTCTCGGGCTCCTCCACGGTCGTGCCGAGCCTGGCAGAGCAGGACCCCGAGGAGCAGCAGGACTGAGGCCGCGAAGCCCATCCGGATGAGATTCTGCACCGTGTAGTCTGGGGTGAGGGCGCACAGGTCAGCGCCGGCACAAGCACCTGCCTCTCGGGAGAGGACGCGGCCCCGAGCCCAGCCCCTGACGGGGACGCTGTCCCCGTCCTCACTCTGGGTCTGACCGCGGTGATGGGGGAGGGTGTCGGGGGCCCGAGGGTCCTGAAGGGAGGCTGTGGGTGGGCCGTGTCCTCCTCGGGGAGCCTCCCGGGGGCAGGATGGGGTGGGGGCGGGCCTGCTCCTCCCCAGACTGACCCCCATCCCGCAGCCTCAGGCCCCTCCAGCCTGTGGCTCCCGCGGCATCTCTGCCCGACTCCCCTCCGGCCCATGACGATCTGAGGGGCCTTGTGCCCCCAGACAATCTCAAAGCGCCCTGGGGTGGGCTGTCTCCCTTGAGCACTGAGCCCTGTGACTCCCCAGTTGTTGAATTGGGGCCCGAGGGTGGGGGCTGGGCCCATGGGTCCTGGGAATGAGCCCAGGAAGGGGTGGGCTGGGCTGACCCGGGGACCCCACCTCACTGCCCTCTGCCCTGCACGGGCCTGTGGCCTCCCCGAGACCGTCCCGGACCCCAGTGCGTGAGGAAGGGGTGGGGTGTGAGCTCCGAGGCCCCTCCCTCAGGGGACCCCTCCCTCAGCACCCCCTCCTCCAGGACCTCCGGGGCCTCCCAGGGCACAGAGCCCCGAGCTGCTGAGTCAGACGGACAGACGGGCCTCACCTGAGACCAGGAGCGCCAGGGGCTCGCTGGGCCGTGACAGCAGGTGGGGCTCTGTGCTGAGTGCGCGGTAGCACCTGTAGGTGCCCCCGTGGGCCGAGCTCACAGGACTCAAGGAGAACTCGGCCTGGAACCGCCCGCCTTGATCCTGGGCGCGCAGACGCAGGGGGTGATGGGCTGCTCCCTCCTGGGACAGAAGGAAGGTGTCCGTCCCGTCTCCTGACTGACACAGCAGGGTCACGTTCTCCCCCGGGGCCACCGAGGGGCCCGGCCGTGCTGAGAGGGAGGGTCTGTCTCTGAGCCATCCTGCAGAGAGGAAGGGGGTGCGGGCCCGGCCCTGGTTCTGAGCGGGACTCCGCTGCCTCTCTGGACCCTCAGCGCCGTCTGTTTCTCCGAGTCTCCCCCTCCCCCACCCCATCTCTCTGTCCCCTCCCTGGGACCCCTCCCCCTGGTCCCAGCATCACCCCTGGGGCTCCCCGGTGGGGCCTGTGCAGAGTCTGGCCCCCGACTGACCCGCTGGCCCCTCACCTGCCACCAGGAGCTCCAGGGGGTCACTGGGGGCCGACCACTCGGAGGAGAGGCCGTGTCCACCGTAGCATCTGTACCGGCCCCCATGGACGGTGCCCACCGGGCCCAGGGGGAAGTCGGCCTGAGAGAGCCCCCCCTGGGCCCTCCGGGCAGGTCGCTGGGGGAGGTCCTGTCCCCCCTCCTTGGACAGAGCGAATCTGGCGTAGTCCATGTCAGAGCGACACTGAAGGGTCAGGTTCTGTCCAGAGGTGACGACAGGGCCCTGCGGGGTCAGGAGGGACGGCTTCCCAGACAGCCCTGGGGAGAGACAGATGCCAGGTTGTTGGGACCGCGTCCCCCGTGGACACCCTTCCCGGCCCAGCCCCAGGCCTCGCCTTCTCTGTCTGTGTGTCTGTCCTGTGACCACCACGCTCTCTCTCCTCCTCACGGGGCTCCCCTGGGAGCAGAGACCCCAGGACGTTGTCTTGTCTGCACAAATGTGGGGTCAGGTCGGGACTTCCTCACCTGAGACCAGGAACTTCAGGGGGTCGCTGGGGGCTGACCACACCCAGGGGGTGTCCCTGTTAAGGCCGTAGCATCTGAACGTCCACCCGTGTCCGGGGCTCACGGGGCCCACGGGGAACAGGGCCTGGGTCTGCCCGTTCGGGCTCCGCTGTCCATCCAGAGTCTGAGAGGACTCATTTTCTCCTTCCTTGGTCAGAAGGAACCTGTTAAATCCCTGACGGGAGCCACACTGCAGGGTCACGTTCCCTCCCGAGGTCACCACAGGGCTCGGCAGGGCTGAGAGGCTGGGTTTGTTGTAAGGTCCTAGGAGAGAAGGAGGCAGCTGGATCCCTAGGACTCCCCTCCACCCCCCGCCCAGGGCTGGGCTGTGAGAGGGACACCCCCTGAGAGCAGACCCCCTCCCGAGGGCAGAGCCTGAGGCCCCCGAGAGTCTCTCACCTGTCACCACCAGCTCCAGGGGGTCACTGAGCTCTGACCAGCGAATTCCCCTGAGATAGTAGCACCAATAGCGCCCTGTGTGCTGCTCAGTCATCAGTGAGATGGAGAACTTGGCCTTGTCCCCGGGCTCCAGGGGTTTCTGTCTGTCCCAGGGGACTGAGCTTCCCTCTTTATCCAGATGGAACTCCTGGGCCTCTAGGGGCCCCTGACACCAGATGGTCACGGGGCTCCCCCAGGGGACCACAGAGCCCGGCTCAGCCCAGATGGTGGGTTTGGGGGGAGCCCCTGGAAGGAAATCAGAGGCGGGCTCACCAGGGGTCTGCCCCCAGGCCCTGGCTCTCAGCCCAGACCTCCCAGACTCCCCCTCTATGAGCCCTGAGCTGCCCTCCCCTCCTCAGGGCCTCGGGGTGACCCTTGTCCCCAAGAGAGGAGAGAGCTGGGCCCTGGGGACAGACTCACCAGCCTGCACCTGGGTCCTCAGGCCCACACTCAGCCCTGGAAGAGAGAGCCCTGTGAGAGGTCTGCCCTCAGCTCTGAGCAGCTCCTCTCGTCCCCGGGAGCCTCCTGGGCCCTGGGGTCCCCTGATGGAGCAGGCTGGCTGGGTGGGGGGTCCCTCCAGTCCAGGGCTCCCCCTGCCCCTCCTCATCTCACCGAGGCAGAGCAGGGCGGGGAGGGTGGGGGCCATGGCGTCTCCTCCCTGCGGTCCAGGCCGTGAGGATGGAGGAGACCTGGGTGTCCTCCAGAGAGACAGAGCACAGGGTGTGTCCTCTCCAAGGCTGGGGCTTCCTGTCACGTGGTTGTCATATCAGCCTCCCCGCAGGAAGGGGAACAGCCTCTTCTTGAAAGCCTGGTGTCGTCCCCATGACAGTCCCAGTGTGTTCCTGAGACGCCCCTTCCAGATGAGGACGGCCAGGCTCCTTCCCTCTGCAAGCCTCGCCTCGGGGTCTGCTTCCTCCTCTGCCCCTCCATCAGCAGGTCCCTGGGGTTCCTCACTGTGGCCGGGTCACCAGGCCCTGGAGATGCTTCGGGGAGGATGCCGGCTCCTGCTGCCCTTGGGGCTGAGATCCCCAGAGACACATCGTTTTTTAATTGGAGGATGGTTCCTTCACAGTATGGTGCTCGTTCTGCCACACATCAACATGGATGGGCCATATGTGTCGCGTGGCCCTCCCTCTTGAACCCCCCCTAGGCTGTCACAGAAGCCTGTGTGGGCTCCTGAGTCACACGGCACGTCCCCCGGCGGTGTGTTTCACACGTGCTGTGTGTGTTTCCATGCTACTCTATTCCTCACACCCTCTCCTTCCCCGGTGTGTCCACAAGTCTGTCCTTTATGAGGGACGCACGTTCAGCGTCTCCCTGGGGCTCAGTTGAGTCCGCGTGGCCGAGAGCCCAGAGGAGATGCGCAGGGAATCAGGATGGAAACTGACTCCTCCCCTGCCCTGGAGTGGGGAGCCCCCCATCACAGCCCCCTTCAGGGGCGTCTCTCTTTACCCCATCACTGTCCAGCCCGCCTTGCTGGGAACAAGCCCCCGGGGGCTTCCTGCCTCCTCGGGGCCCCGGGGTCCTTGGGCACAGGCTCCTCCGGTCTTGCCATCACCTGCAGGCTTTCGGGGGTGTTGATTGGGGTCAGAGCTCTCACTCTGGTGGGAACAGATGTTCCTATAAACGTGTGCCCGCTGCTCATGGGACCTTGAGCGACGGTGCCCTTTCTCTGCGCCTGAGCTTCCTCCTCTGCATGTTATCCGAACCCCAGCCCTCAGAGGGGCTGTGGGCTCTTGCTGCCGTCATCACGGTTCATTTCCAGACGAGGTGACAGGAGAGGGTGGACGTGATGGGCTCCTGGCTCAGACTGCACCCAAGGGGGCGAGTGTGGTGCCCACCCAGAGCCTCCTCTGCTCCTGACGCTGAGACCTGCTCCGGAGAGTGTTTCTGCAACACGAAACCACAGACAAGTGCAGAAGAGAAGTTCCCCAAATGGAGAGGGAACCACAGCGAAGCGGGGAGAGGTAGGCGGTGTGGCCCCGGCAGCGGGGATCATCTCGGGGTCAGAGGGAGGTCCACCCGTGTGGACACAGAGAGGGACCCATCCTCACAGAAACATAAAGGGAGGCAAGCATGTGGATTATTTCGTAGAAGAACAGGCAGTTACTGAAAAGAGTCGAACAGTTTTGACGTGAACAATCCAGTAGATTCAACATTTTAAAAAAAGTCAGGCAGTCAAGCAGACAGCTGAGCGGCCACATGTGAAGTCGGAGTATAGCACTGAGGGAATGTTCCGGAATGCAGCAGAGAGCGCAGAAAGGCAATTCAGTAGAGGCGGGACTGTGCTGAGGGCCAGTGTGGTGTCTGTCTTAAGTGTCAGAAGCGAAGAAGCTCACGACAGACAGCAGTGGCTGAAGAAATGAATAGCGGAGCCTCCTTTCCTGAGGAGAACCGACCTGGGGAGGGCTGGGGCACATGGATGTACACGTGACACCCGAGGGCGGCCCTGCTGGGCCCGTGACTGAGACTCGGCGCTCCTTACTGAGGGTTAGGGTTCGATCAGGGCTCAGGGATCCAGACGCGGCACACTTTGGCCAAAGACCCCGCACCCTGCAACCGAGAGCCTGTGTGCCGCAGCTGTCAACAGGTGGGCTATTCAAAAGTAACATCTGTATCTTGACCTTTCATATAGATAAAATGAAGGTCAAATTTAAAAAGTATTTCCTACTGAAATGTACAATTTGAAACAGTTTATTCTAACTAAATTTCAGCTGAAAAAAAAAAAATGAAGGCGGATCGGACTGAGACCCTGAAAAGGCGTTCTTGCAAGGGGCGGAAGCCAGAGCTTCATGCAGAACACATCGCCAGCTTCCAGGAGGTTCTGTACCGCCTCCCGCTGTGGGCCGTGCCTCAGCCTCACAGCCGCCAGGTCCTGAGAGAGGAGGGCCCTGGGGGCCTGGATCCCTTAACCTTGACAAGTGTTTTCCTCTCCTTGTACTTGAGTCACCTGCTTGATTCAAAATAGGAAGTGTTCTCAAGTAACTTGATCAAAAGAGAATGAGTGTGAAAGAAGGCATTTCCAGAGGTGCACGTCCTTAGATGCTGACAGTTTTCACACGGGAAGCAATACTCAGAGATGGCAGAGAGACAGTGAGGTGCAACAGAGAGGAACGCGTGGCCGAGATGAGCTTTGGAAAGTTACACAGACACACTTGCACGCACAAACACACCCACACGTGTGCACAGAGACGTGCGCACGCCCACACACGTGTATAAGAGTATCCAGGGTTCTTCAACTGATCGATGTGGTGTGGTGGTGCTCTCCCGGGCCGGGCCTAAGCCGTGCCGGACGAGGGACGGGCGTTCCCAGTGAACGGGTCCGCTCTTCTCGGTCTGTCCGCGGGGCCCCTCGCCTGTCTTTCCCCCTTGCCCCTTGGGGGGTGTTGGGGTGGGGCCTCCGGCCCTGACCTTCGGTCTCCCGTCCCCCGCCTTGGGGTGTCTGGTGGGGCCGTTGGTCTTCGGACACAGCAGATGCGCCTGCTCGCCTTCCTGGCGTGTTGCCCCGCGAGCGGCCCTCCCCGTGGTGGGGAGGGCTGTGCCGCTGCCACGCCACACGCCCCCGCACGGGTGTGTGAGCGTGCCTCGATGGACCCTGGGCGGTGGCCCTGGCGTGCTCCAGGGCGTCCCTCAGGTGCTCGAGGCCGAGCGGTGGTGCCGTTTTCCCTTAACCCCGTGTCCTCCTCGGGTCCCCGCCACGGCGCTGTGCGTGTGTCCCATGAGCGGCTCTCTCTGGGTGGGAGCGGGTCGAGGCGGTGAGAGCATTGTGTGCTCCCCTCGTCGCGGAGGCTGCCCGATGAGGCCTTGCAGGGGGCGGGCGCGGGCTCTGCCCCGGCCCTGGCCGCGCACGCGCTCCTGTGCGTGGTCGTCCGCTTACCGGTACCGCAGACCCCTCCCGCCCAGTTGAGGACTGGCGGCTCCCGGTGTGCCTCCGTGTTGCCCGAAGGAGAGACGGCGCGCCCTCGGTGAGAAAGCCTTCTCTAGCGATCCGAGAGGGAGCCCCAGCCGCTGCCCCTCCCGAGCGCGCAGTGGCCACCGCGGCGACTGCCAGAGCACGTGGGCAGAAAGCTCCCCTCCCCTCCGTGGGAAGCGGGCTGATGGGTGCGCCGGCCCCGCGGTGGGGCCGTGTGCCGCTTGTTGCCTACTGCGGCCTGCGCCTCCCCCCTCCGAGTTGGGGGAGGGTCCCGCTGGGCCCCGCCGGGTGTCTGGCGAGTGGGGGGGCCGTGCGTGTGTGCTGTGTGCGCCAGGCCGCCCCGTGGTGTGAGCCCAGGGGGAAGGGGGTGGTCGCGGCGCGACGCCTGGTGGGCCCCGGCTCCCCCAGCCCCGCAGCCTTGGTGAGGGGGAGGAGCCTGTCGCGCCCGCCCTCGCCCCGGAGCCGCAGCCGGTGGCGGTGTTGTGGGCCCGGTCTGGGCCGCCTCGCTGGAGAGCGTGTCCCCAGGGTGTTGAGCCTCGGGGTCAGACTTGGATGGAAGATTGATCTGTCGTGGATGGATGGATGGATGGACGGATGGAGGAAGGTGGCTGGACGGCAAGCCGGCCCTGGCGGCGGGGCCGGGTTGTGGGGCCCGCTCCAGGGATGGCCGGGAACGGCCGGCGTCCCAGGCGTCGCAGGACCGCCCTCGTGTGTGGGTGGCGGTGGGATCCCGCGCTGGTTTTCCTGGTGGCCCGCTGTGTCCCGGTGTTTTCTGGTCCCCGGGCCGGCGCCCTCGCCCCCGTCCCGCGGCCCCTGCTGCGTCCACCGCTGCCGGCCTTCCTCCTCGTCCCGTGCGTGCGACCCCCTTGTCCCCTCCCACCCCCGTCCCCCGCGGTCTGGGACCGAGCTGGCCTCGCCTCACGTGGGTGTCGTCTCCCGGCCTCTGTCGGCCGGTGGCGGCCCCGGGTGGCGCAGTGCCCCCGGAGCCCTGAGGGGGAGTGGGGCGGGCGGGGGGAAGCCTTCGGCGCACAGCAGGGTTGCGCGTGTGAGGGCTGTGGGGGCCGCCGGTACGCGGCGCGAGAGCGTTCTCCCGGGCCGGCTGCGGCTCTGGGTGTAGGTGGCGGTGGGCGTGAGGCCCCGTGAGGGGTGCGCCCCCCTCCCCCGCGCGGGGGTGGGGTGTGTGGGCGGAGAGGCCAGTCTGTCGTTCTGGGTGTGCCGCGGGACCGGCCCTGTGCTGGGAGGCCTCTGGCGGTGAGATCCCGCGCTGCGCCCTAGCGGCCGACTCGCTTCCCCCGGGTCGTTTCGAGCCCATCCCCCTCGCGGTGGCGCGCGG